CGTGGCGGGGAGGGTGGGATATAAATGTATTTTAATAACAACAACAACAACAACAACAATGTCTTCCCCAGTGGTCAATATTGGCCTACTGTCTCAAAATCCCCAAAGGAAATGTGCTGGGTGAACTTGGTCTGGACACACACTCTCAGCCTAATCCACCTCACTGGCTTGTTGTTATTCCTCATCTAAACAGTTCACATTGCTTTCCTACTGAGAAAGATTGGATCATGAGGGCATGAATACAGTGAAAAAGGGGAGGTAACCCAGTTGCCTACTTCAACTGAATAAAATCCAGATGTTCCTTCTAGCTCTTAATATGTTTTAAACGGGAGCAAAAATTTTGACAGCTCAGTGAATCCTGAGAACATTCTGGATTTTTCTTCCAATAAGACAGGACACTAAAATTAGCCCTTGCTTTCATAGAAGGAATACCAAGCTCAGCTCTCATTAATGCCACTGGAGAACACTTTAACAACCCAAGAATCCATATTGTAAAATAATGTTTTATTATTTCCAATGAATCCAGAATCTGCTCTCCCCAACCCCATATTTTGATACCATAAAGTAAACTAGAAATCACCTTCTTGCCAAACAGCTTGATAACAGGGTCAACCATACCACCTCCTTTGGAGAAATAAAATTTCACTATCAGCCCCATGGTCTTCATGGCAGAGGACTTTAACGAAGCTAAATGAGGTCACCAAAAGAGGGTTTCTGAAAACATTATTCCAAGATATTTATATAGACTACACTGTTCAATCTGAACACGCAAGATTCTCCATACTGAATTCCTTGGTCATTTCCTAAATACCATTACCTTAGACTTGGCATAGTTTATTCATAGGCCTTCTTCATTACAGTACTGGCCCAGCCTTGTTTTAGCCCCTTCTGTATAAGTATGTCATCAGTTAACACACCTTCTTTTCCAACCTTAACCTTTACAATGGTATTTCAATGCAACTGACTTATCAAAAAGACCAATGTAGGATCAATATTAATATTTAGCAGTTTCTGCCATAATCTGTTCCTATCAAGGGAATTGAAGGCCAAGGCCAGGTCAATAAAGGCCACATACAGCACTTTCGTTGGACCTCTAATAGCATCAGTAGCCAGAGTATATAATGTTTGACACTGTTCAATTGTAGAATGCCCTTTTTAAAACTGTATTTGCAGAATTAATTTCCATAATATCATGGGATTTTATAGAGTTTATGGAAGTTTATAAAATGTTTTCTATTAATATTGTTTATAAGTATGTTTATTAGTTTTATTGTAAAATGTTTGGTCTAAATTACCTTGTAATTATATGTAATGCGTTTTATAGTAACTGTTTGTACGTTTGGCTTAAGACCTCTGGTCCATGAAGCTAATAAATGAAAAGAAAGGAACCGTATTTGCAAGGGGTGGATTAGATTATTCTTAGTAACACAATCCTCTAATTTATTTTTTAAATATTTACTATATAATTTAGAAGCAATAGACAACAAACTAATTGGCCTAAAATTATGGGGTTCCTTTCTATCACCCTTCTTGTGTATTGGTACAACAATACTTGTGGTCCATCCTTTAGGGAGTCTACCCGTATTATTAATTTGGCAAAAAAGTTTCGTCAGAAGAGGGACCCACCAGTGAATATATATTTTAAAACATTCCACCAAGATCAAGTCCTCTCCCAGGGATTTGCCTCTCGGCAAAGACTCCACCAGAGATCTCACTTCAGATTATGACACTGGAGGCCAGTTTGCCACAATTAATGGTGGTTTGCAAGATATCATCATATTTATTAAATTTTACTTTTATTAATAATATGCTCCTTTAACCAGAGATCTTGAGTCATATAATAAAATCACAGTACAGATATCAACAACAGTTACAGAATGATAAAAGAAAATTGTGCCCCTAATAAAATTACACAATTGTCAGATTAATACTTAGCAGGAAATTGTCAAAGATATTATAAAAGACAAGAATTTGGCCACAGAGCTCGTAACTGCAGGCCTAGTGTCAGACAACAATAAGGAAACTACCTGCAGTTCAATGGCAAGCTGATATTTTGCTCAAAATGGGGGGAATCCAAAGTTCTCGCAATGCGGACCATTGGTCACAGAATAACAAAACATGATCAATGGTGTCAATCATACCTAAGGTTGCCAGGTCCTGCCTCCTCCTCAGCGGGAGACTTTGGGAGGTGTTCCTGGAGGGGGAGGGGACATCCCAAATGTGATGATGTCACTCAGAAGTGATGTCATCACATTGGGGGAAATGCCTGAATTCCAAGCGACAAATTTACCACTTCGAATTCAGCCCCCCCCCCAAAGCATTTAAAGGATCCCTCTAAATGCTTTTGGAGAGAGGGAGCTGTGTGCACCTGAATCACCGCTTGGGATTCAGGTGCGCATGGCCCCTGCTCTCCAAAAGCATTTAAAGGGACCCTTTAAATGCTTTTTGGGGAGCTAGGGCCCTGTGCCTGAATCCCAAGTGGTGAATTCACCAGAAAGAAAGCATACATGTGGCCACCCCTCTTCCTCCCCTCCAGCCAGATTTAAAGAGCCCTCCAGCTGATCAGCAGGCCATGTGTTCCCGCTGATTAGCTGGAGGGCCCTTTAAATCTGGCAAGAGGGAAGGGAGAGGGGTGACCATGGGTGGCTGCTGTTGGGGGAAGGGATTGGGGACAAGGCTTTCCCCTGCCGGCCAGCTGGCTGGCGGTGCACAGGAGCCCCCAAAATCAGTGGATCCCCTGCCCCCACCTGGAGACTGGAATTCCTAATCATCCCAGAGTCACAACGACAGAGGTGTTCACAGAATGGAATATTAGCAAATTGTCCCTACAACTCTATTGTGGGCAAAACTTTTGGTCTACATAGCATAAATGTGCGACGATTGCCAGGAGCAGTAAGATACTGTAAATATGGAGGGAGGCTTATGGGGGGGATTCCAAGGTGGAGCACGCATGGCGAGTTCGAAACTCCATATTAATTCTATCAAGTTTTATTAACCCCTCTTTGACCTCTCTCAATGTTTCACAATAGCCCATATTTTGGACTATTGCAAGGAAAGGACTAAGACACTTGAATTTGCTATCATTTATAACAAAAATAACAAACCCCAAATCTCTTCCTCCCTCATCCACCTTAGAAGATGCCTGCCATTCATATTTATTTATTAAAACACAAATGGGATTGTTTACCAAGTAAAATTGCAATCCATGAAATCCATGTACTAAAATTCTTGTATCAGTTATCTGATTAACCAGTCTTACTAGGATGCTCCTGCTCGCCCTTAGCTATTAATGTCAAAATGTTCAGATGATTTCCCCCTTCTTCCCAATCCAAACACATTATTTTTAATTTTTCTACCTTTTAAATCCCTACCTATGCTACAACATGTTACTTGTATGCACTGATATCTAATTCCGCCTCAGAATGCAAAACCTAATTCTTATTTCAGTGTGCAAGATGCCAGCTGCAACTCCCCTAAACACTGCATAGAAACCACTGACATAAATAACAAAGTGCTGTGCAACAATTTCTACTCAACACCTGCCAGAACTGAAAGTTGATATCTTTGCAAACCAAAACAAAAGCAACCACACAAGTAAATGGATTCCAATATCAAGGGGTGTGTGTGTGCATCACTGAGTGAATACTGTTGCTATCTTACCTCAACTCCCTTGGGACCCGGTGGTCCTGGAGGTCCTCTGTCCCCTATAATTCCCTAAGTAACAACAAATACACCAAAAATATTTTAGATCAATGAGTAAAAGAGTAAGAGCTGAAAATATTATTCTCTCTTAATCTCATATAGTTTCTTATTATTCCCTCTGGAAGCCAGAACTAGTAAATTTGTGCTCAGTGGAATTTTTGCATAAACTTTCAATATGCTTACAATTATGTACATATATTTTGCAGTTATATAATAGTACAAGCTTACAATGGAGAAAACTGCTTACACTGCTGGGGGGGGGGCTGAAAAATTCCATGTAGAAAGCAATGATCTTCATTACTTGTCTGTTGCACTGAACTTAACACTTACAGCTCTGGAAAAAGACTAGGACATTGTACTTCATTGCAAAGATGGTTCAAAGTTTCAGTCTTCCATATGTCAACCATAAAACATCCAGCAGCTAATCTTTGTCACATCTTTTGCATTCGTTCCATTGTTAGAATGCTATTTCAAGAACACATTAAAGTCTCATGCCCAGTAAGCCTTTCCCCAGTGAAAATAAATTCACATATATAACAATGAAAATTGGAGGTATGCATTTCTCTTTCACACAAAAAGGGTTAAATTTTCAACAAGAAAAACCAAACATTCCCATCCTCAGATAAGCCCATTGACCACATGAAGTACTGTTCTGAATATGCCTCCTATTTGGAAAGATGCAAGCACAAAAATGTGACTTATGTATAGATAAAATGAGCAACCTCCTTTGAAGATGGATAATTCTCCTGTGACTGAATGATCCAGCTGCAGACTTAGCTGAGACACAGAAAATTATACCAGCTCCTAGCAGAGGCTGATTGGAAGCAGATAAGAATAGAGCAGCAACTCAAACAGAAATGCAGCATACTGTCTTCCCCAGGGATGAATCCACAGGAACATTTACTTAATGTACCATTAAACAGGTAGTCTTTTCATGTTACACTGGTGTGTTCCACTACATAGTTTGAGAACTGGAGTTCATATAAGTTTGCTTACATATGAGCTCAATGTTCTCTACTCTAGCAGTAACTTTCCATGGTTCCACACAGAGAGTGGTTTTTCCTAACACTTGCTACCTGAGATTCTGGAGATACCAGAAACAGAATCTGTGACTTTCTGCATGCAAAACATATGTCTACCCCTGAACCACAGTCCCTCCCACTGATTCACTGTTCAGCAGCCTCCTCCTAGTTGTGTTTCTCCAGACTTTCAGGTTTTATAGATGAAGGAATTTTTAATTCATTTAGGGGATTTATATGCCTCAAGAGACCTGAGCTAGACGATGTACAAGTAAACATAATACTATAAGTTTGTTCACAAGGTTAAACGCATGCAGTGGAAAGTTACTGCCTAATAAGTAAAGGGGAAGCCTCAATTAAACCAATTGAGTATAACAATTAAAACCATTTTATGTGATTAAATTTATACACATAGATACTTTTACCAGCATGCTAACTGACTTATTACCTCAACACACATTTCCCGATGAGGAGACGCACAATTTAAACAAGTCTAGGACTATTTGCAAGATGAGTCATTGTTCCAGAAATTACAAAAATTCTGCAAACCTGTGGATTCCTCCAGATTTGTAGAAACACCTCCTTCCTCTCCATCAGACCCTGATCCATAGATTTAAATATCTGCAGATCAGGGTACAGTTGGCTGTTAGAATATGAGATTTGAACAATGTGAGGCTCACTCTAACAGCAGCCACTAACTAAGATTTGTCAGTCTAAAGATTTTGTCAGGTGACCCATTTCAACCAGTCTCTTCGCACCAGTCTCTTCACAGTCTGCTCCGTTTGGCTTTTGCCTGAGCAATCCATAATTGGAGCCCATCATACATAATTGTCTTGCTCTCAAGCCTTCTCTTTAGCACAGGTTGCCTGCTCCTGTCTCCTCTTCAACCTTTCTCCTTAAAATGATTTCCTGGCTAACCGAGCATGCTTCCTGGCCATGAACTGTTTTTTCTGGTTGACCGAGTTCAACCAACACCCCAATTCCAGCAATGGCTCAAGAGATTTGTCCTCATCCTCTTGCTATTCCTTGCAAACGTACAATAAGCCTGATAAGGCAAAAAGTACCAACAGGGATCCTGACTGATCCCTGCATAAACCCTGAAGCGATGAATTTCATCACTGATTAAATCCACAGATTGGTTTGTATAACACATCTTGCGCTTCCACTTTCCCCAATTTTTATGATTTTCTGATTGGCTTGAAGAGAACCAGAAATGGTACTACTGGATGTAAAATTATAGATAAGGCCAAAAACCACATTCAAAATCCTAAATTGTAAAACCAGCAACATATGAAATATTTTTTGATAGCTGCTGATTTTCTTTCCATGGTACCTGTCCATGAACGGATGGACGTTCTCTACTAATCAGCTACTCATTTTTCTACTAATTAATGTGACACAGACTGACAGCAGCTTTCTTCACTGCTGCAAAGCTGTAGACACTACTTATTTCAGTTGGTCAAAAAAAGCATTCCAGAACTTAGGAACACTACCAAGTTAATTACCTGAAGTTTCCATCCACTCTTGTTGTGAAAAAAAAATAGCTAAGAAAAGAAAGTGGAGGACTTTTAAAGATTTACTGAACATGCCAGGAAAGAATCCAGAGAGTGTACAAATGGGAATAACTTGTGTTTCCTATGGCTATGCAACTTTCATATCAACCTTTTCCTCTAGGATCAGTAAAGGTCTTAATAGTCATTTATATGATGGAAGCAGCCCAATTAAAACACCAGAAAGTATAGGAAAGAAGCTATTCCTGTTTTATAACATGTAAAGCAGTGATTCCCAATAATTAAAGTCATCTTAGAGCCAAAATATCCAATCAATTAAAGAGCCTCCCTTTGTATGATTTACTGCTTTGGGCTCGCTCCCTTCTCATCAACCGCTGCTGTGGATAGTCAGTTTGGATACACCTCTGCACAGGGTATGACTGGATCACTGAATCACTACCACTGTAGAGACACAGCACTGTTATCCTTGCTTACAGGAGCCTGCTCATTGTGTGTTTTGAGGCCTCGCTACTCTGACTTGGCTTTCTTCCAATCAGGAAATGCCTCTAAGTCAGTGACTCAGGCTGAAATACTGAAGGTGATTCTCCTCTGAGGGCAGGTAATTCTTATTCTTCCATCATCTTTCACACCTGCAAAACTGTGTCTCTTATTTTAATTTGTTTTGGGGGAAATACTGGATTTGTACATATGAGTAAATCAGTAAAATAACAAATTTTGTTCAGGATCATTTTCTATTATTAGGGATTTTTAAGGACAAAATCAAATCTATTGTGTAAAAACTGTAAACTCTTCTTCATCACTGATACAAGATTAGAAATTTCTAGGAAACTGAAAAGCCATAAATCTTTGCGCTAAATCCTGGAACAATATAGTGTGGAATGAAGCTTTGATGGAGACACTTACTTTTCATTTACTCACAGTTTAATGAATTTGTAGATAAATGATTGATGTACCTGCTCTATGTTAATAAAAATCCTTATATTATTAGACCTACTTCAGAAGTAAACTCTTTTTGGGCAGACACTAGGTTGGATCCGGTCAGCTTTTTCAATCAAGTTGATTTTGTCCATGTAGGTCCCATAATTCCCCAGCATGGTCTTTTTGGTACTCAAAGGAAAACCTTTCCTCCCTTTTTCACCAGTGCAAAAGCTGGTTGGATCCAACTGTCAGGTCCTGTAGTAACCACTCAGTACACAATAGTCCTTTAACAGGTTTATTGGTAAAGTATGGCTTCTGGTCAGATGAACACCTTTGCCAGAACTGGTGGGCAAAAGCATATGGGGTCCACCCCTCATGCATATGTCACAAGCTCCTACTAAGGCAACAACAGGTCATGAGAGAATATACGATCTAACTAGCGATATCTCTTAGTGTGTCTCCCAAGGCCACGGCTCCAGTTGGGGACTGTGAACTCTACGGGGGCTGCTTAGGAAAGATACAAAAGGCGTCTTAGCTATAACCCCTTTCACACATTCACAGACTCCCCACCCCTCAGGAATGTCAGGGAGGACTGGCTGCTTAAGGGGTACACAAAAGCAATTAGCCAAGCGGGTATACAAAAGCGGGAGATGACAACAGCAATAAAAGACATCTATACACAGTCAATACACATGGGCACAAGCAAGATCCATTCAGCAGTCCGATTCTGACACCAACCCCCTTTTGCTAGTTAAATGGAATTGACAAGTGCTTTAAACATTTTACTTATCTCCTTTTACATTTACATAATGCGTATACGCTTGGTTTTGTATTCACTTAGCAATATATAACTTGTTTATATACAGGGCTGGCCCGCTCACTAGGTGAGCTAGTCTCTCGCCTAGAGCGCGGGGCCATCATGGGGGCACCAGACTGAGCCACCGGAGGGCCCTGCTGCCGCCGCCTGCCAGAGCCGCTTCCGCAGCCCCGGTGTGAGCAGCCAGGCACCCAGGGAGGAGGGAGGCGCTCCGCAGTCTGCCCACCGCCCTGCCAAAAGCTCGGCTCCGAGGGCCCTGCTGCCGCCGCCTGCCACAGAGGAGCAGCCGCCCTTTGGAGCTGCACAGCTGAGCCACACGGCCTTCCCTTCCCCCTGAGCCGCATGGCCGGGGCTGAGCCATGGCCAGCGGAGCCCGCGCCCCCGGGAGCCCTCGGCCTGCTGCCTCTGGCTGCCCCCCGCAGCAACCCTGCTCGGCACTCTTGCTCCCACCTTGCCACCACTGAGGAGGAGGATCCCTTTGTTAGGGGCAGCAGCCGCCCGAGCCGAGCCAAGCCCTGGAGGAGCTGCTGAGGCTGGGAAGTGAGCCGGGACTGGGAAGCGCCGGCATGGGGACCTCTCCTCCGCCGCCGAGCTGGCTCACGCAGGAAAGGTAATCCGAGTCTTCTGGGCATGTGCAAGCCCTTCAAATCGTCTGCTTCCCTTGAAGTGTCTGCACGGTCAGCTCCGCAGGTCCCGCGATCGGGCGAAGGGGAAGGGATCACCCTCGGCCGAGGAGGTTAGGCGCTGGCTGGGGGCAGGGAGGGACCTCTCCAAGTCTCGGGCAAGCATACAGACCTCTCACTGCACACCTAGGCAAGTATCCAGGCCCCACCAGGAGGTTGGCATCTGCGCTCGCCTAGGGCACAGGAACGCCTCAGGCCAGCCCTGTTTATATATATAACTTTCTTGGTGAGAAACTCATTCTCAATCATTTAGTTTGTAAATTCATCTTATTTGGGAAATACATAATTTTTTAAAAGTACTTTTCAGTTCTTTGAGATAGAAGTCTGGTGCACATGACAGTGCCACACATTCACTGAATGTGCAGGGAGGGAAAGAGGAAGCAAGCCTGCTGGCCCTGCACCCTGCTTTCACACGATTATCTGGTCATCTGCAGAGACAACACTGTGGAAGAAGTGGCAGTGCAAACTCTGGATTTGGAATATCGCAATTCAGAGGGAGGGAAAGTTCACACAGTCACTTCCTCTGTGTAGTCACCCCTACAAATGACCAGATAATTACATAGAGGCAGGAGGCAGGGCCAGTATACTTGCCTTTGCTCTCCCTCCCTGTGCATTCAGTGGATGCATGGAGATGTCATGTGTACCAGCTACTGATGTATGGCTATGGAAACATTATAAAGCTTATGGAGTCTACTTTTTCTGTTGCTTTTGTGACTGAACAGCCAGAAGGTCATAGTTGCAAGCATCACTTAACAAAAATATACGATTACAAAAGGAACCCCAAGAAAACCTTATAAAACAAATTAAATGGAAATATTATATAAGGATGTTGATTAGAGTACAGGGGCTCAAGATAAAAACACTTCACAAAATGTTGTTTACATGCTAAACTGTTTGACTCGACAATGGGAAATAATTATGTAACATTTGTTAATTAGAGCAAGGATTTGGATTTTTAAAAAATTGAACAATCTACTATTTACAAACAGAATGAAACATAGCCATGAAGGTCAACATCTGAAACACACAACGTCTGTCTTGCTCTCTTGGCACTTATTACACATTTAGCTTTGGAGGAAGCATAAAACAAAAGAATGAGGAAAAGAGAAGCTTAGTAGAACAGTCTTCCAAAAATAAAGGAGAGAGGAAACTCCTCAAAACCGCAGTCAACACAAGACAGCTGGGAACGCAAAAGCTGAACATTTCCAGTTTCATGTAGACCTAGTCTCTTCGTATTATGGACTGTGTAAAAGCTTTTCCATTTTGGTAGCACTCATCTCAGACATAAGCCACCAATTTTCTTTGATTAGAGACGGCTGTCCAAGCTTTCCATTTTCAAGAGCCAAAATACTATGGAGATAATGAAGTCTCTCCACAGACGTTACTCTGGTTGTATCAAACAGTATCTGGATATTTCAGTTAACCAGTCAGCATTTTGCCTATGATTTGGATGAATAACAATCTACTGGCACAGTGGGATTTTGGGCAGTATACTGAAAATGTAGTGGGGAAAAACGTGAACATACTCCTGGGTTCTAAATACATGCCTGCATCACTGGGATAACATCAGTATATGTGCCATTGTGCTGGTACAATGGTTGAATCCCAAGTTTCCTATTGAAGGGTGGCTTTTCTCTAGCTCTTACAATCAAGAGAAAGCCAAAGTTCATATAGGGCACATAAGAACATAAGAGAAGCCAATGTTGGATCAGGCCAATGGCCCATCCAGTCCAACACTCTGTCACACAGTGGCCCAAAATACCAAGTGCCATCAGGAGGTCCAGCAGTGGGGCCAGGACACTAGGAGCCCTCCCACTATTGACCCCCCCCCTCCAAGCACCAAACAGAGCATCACTTGCCCTGGATGGACCTCTGCATATTTAGATTTAACAGTCTCTATGGAAGAAAATAAGGACCCAGTCAAATGATTATTTCAAACCATGGTGTCTATGGTTGTTCGTCTGTGGCAACTTCTAAATGTGCTGCATGTGGCCATGTGCAGCCATGTGTTTACCTGATCATCTGCATGATGATATGTTGAACTCAACACTGATCAGATTTTGGCTCAATCACAACTTCACAACCTCAGGTGGACTTTGTGGTGGACCACCTGTCAGGTACCCTTGATGGATATTCAGCTGGGATTGCCTTGGTTGGCCTATGCTCACTGGAACCATATGTCCCAGAATGCTATCCAACAAAGCCGGAAGGACCTGTTGATGTTCTTTCCTATAATGTTATCCTGCACAGAGGTTTGAATCCCTGAACCCAACTCTGATACAATCCCAGTGGTGCCATACCATTAAGGCTCTTGGGCACATTTGTTCAGTTCTTAAACAACAGTAGCACAATCTGGGTGTGGAAGTCTTGCTGAGTAGGTCATGTGTACCATCTGTTTTTCCTCTGGGCAGATTGTTTTCACAAGAAAAGTCAAAACCATGATGGCAGTATATGGAGCTTTGACAGTGAAAAGGCATTCAGGCTCACATGCTCCTTGTATCACCATCTTTTTGCCAACATCCACAGTTGCTATTTACACCTCTTCTGAAGGTCTAGTCAGACACTGAACCAGAGAAGAGGCTCTCATTATCATTATGATAATGTTCATAATGAGCAGGCCACTGTAATTATGTAATCTATCGACACTGTGTCAAAATTCTCTAGAAGCTACTTTCAGACTCATACCTCCCCTGATGTGGCCAACAGGCTTCCAAGCAAATGGTAGGAGCACAGTCTCAGCCAGTAAATACTGCCTGCCTCTTTTCTGTTCACTGATGTCAGACCCCTGGAGAAATCAGTTCCCAACAACAGCCATTCAAAGGAATAAAAAGATTATTGAGACATTGATACTGTTTCTGTGTTAGAACTGGGGGAAAGCATGCAAAGCAAGCAATTATACCTAAATCAAGCAGGACCCTAATGGCCTGGGGCCAATCACACCTAAGCTAGCAGCCCGCTGAAATAACAGCCTATAATTCCCAGGGGAAAGATGATACCAGTCTTGACAAGGGCTCAAGGTTACATGTCTGAGCCAAGGAAGATAACTACCAGCAACAGCAAAGCGGCCAAAAGCAAAAGTGTAAATTCTTCTCATCCCCTCCATCCCTATGGCAACCAAGCCCGATAAAGAGGGTGAAGTTGACACGTGATTTGCTTCAGACCTCCACATAATTCTTTTTATCTTTTTACTCTGTTTACTGAGGCAATACATGTATTATTTATCGACTGATTGATTTTACAAAATTTACACCTGTCCTGTCTGCCCTCATAATGGCCACCAAGACAGCTAACAAATTAAAACGTACATAATAAAAGCACATCTTAAAAACCATTAAAATGAACAAAACCCCATATCATGAGTGGAAGATGGCAACAGAAGGGAATTAGGTGACTCTCCCTGGGGAGAGTTCCAGAGTGTTGGTGCCATGATTGAGAAGGCCTCTCCCAGGTTGCTACCTGTCTAATCTCAGAAGGCAGGGGCACCTGAAGCATGGTCTCCAAAGATGACCATAGTGGTCACTTTGGTTCATAAGGGAGTAGGAAGAAGGGAGTAGGAGTCCTTCAGGTATGTTGGTCCCAAGCCATATAGGGCTTTAAAGGTCAGCAACAGCACTTTCAAGTGTGCTTGGAAACAGATTGGCAGCCAGCGTAGATGGGCCAAGACTGGAGTGATATGGCTCCTATGTAAGTGTAAGATCAGCAACTTTACTCAGAAAAGATTTAGATAATGTCCACATTCAGAATGACATATATATATTAAGACCTTAGAAGCAAATGAACAGTGACTTCACAACAAATAATTTTTATTATTTTAAAAGAAAGACAACATGTTACCTTGTGGTATTATTTCTTTTATTATTCATTTTATATACTTTATCTCATCCTTCAAATAATAAGACCCCATTAGCAACTCACAAAGTCTAAAAACTTCATGTAAAAATTATGGAATAATTTATATCAAAATTTTACATACCTTTGGACCTTCTGGGCCATTTAGACCAGGAACACCAATATCTCCTGGAAAACCCTAGGATTAAAAAAAATGTTTTTATTATGATTGGTCAATTGGTCCAGTGACCCTACTGAGAAAAATGTGAATGATGCATGATGTGTATGAACTAGCCAGCCTTTTTAGAACACCACATTATAAATTCTAGCATATATTCTAGAACAACATAAAACATTTTACTACTACTTCTTTGATGGACTGCACTTTTTAAGAGGCTTACAAGTGCTGTACCAACAACTTAAGGACTGTGAAGGGTTAATACTTCACAGAGCCAGAGAGCCTTGAGGGACAGGCTGCTGTAAATAATTTGATTGGTTAGCATCATAGCCAAAGTCTTGAGATAACTGGATGCTGAGGAGATTCAGACAGATTCCTGCCTTCACTGAGAAGAGACATGTACTGAGACCGTCTGTGAATAGCCCTGGCAGAAAAAGAATTTACTGCTGACAGAGTTCGAGTTCAACCTTGACTGGACACAGTCTGAATTCAGCGTTAGCTGAGAGCAGTTTGAACACAGACAGGAGAACTGGGGGAGAGTTTGGCAAGGAAGTTTGTGGTAGTAGAGAAGACTCCCATTCGGGCCGAAGGAAAGGGGATAGATCTTCTAGAGAGAGAAGATTCCCTACCCAGTCAAACAGGGAGAGTTATCTCTGAGGAGTACAGAGATCCCTGGTCTGGTGTGGTTAGAAACTGCCTGTAGAGACCTTAAAAGTCAGTGAACAACTCAAGAAGAGTACTGCTGTTCCAAGAGAAGGGCTTTGTGTATTGGGAAGATGGTACCAGCTGTCTGAGCATCAAGAGAGTCAGCGATTACTCAAATAAAGTGAACTTGAGTGTTTGGGAAAGCTCTGGAACAAAAGCCTCTCAATATAAAGAACTTCTCATGAGCCTGATATATAAGACCAAAAGTCTTTGCTTGTACTAGCTTTACTTCAGTAATTTCAACCCCTGATTTCACCTGCCCTTTCCCTTTCCGTTTTGCACACGAAAGCTTATATCTTGTGCCACTGGACTTAAGCTTTGTTCTGCTGCTTCAAACCAACATGGCTACCCACCTGAATCTTTCCCTTTGATGTTAAATAAAACCTTTTGTTACTTTTGAATTTTTTTGAAGCATCTCAAGTGCCATTTTCAAGAGTATAAGTTAAAAGGTGATCCTATCCCTTCCTTCAGGGTCCTGGGCTGAATAAATAGTCAAAATATATCTTACTGACAGGGTGGGACAGCCAAAGTTTCTTCAGGAGAAAAAAACACGCTACTAGGACAGCTCAGTCAGTGAAGGGGCAGGAAAACGAAGGGAAAATTTGCCTCTTACAGAGAGTAGAGGAAGGGGTCCATCATAACTTCACTATTAAAATTCCTTATTATCATGATTCTTTATTATCATCATCTTCATTTATAGTCCACCTTGTTCACTGGGACTCAAGGTGGATTACAAATACAATAATAACTATACAGTCAATTAACAAGTGCATTACAAAGTATGATAAACATATGAATATAAAAGCTAAGGTTCCCGTTAAAACAGATAAATGCAGTGGGACTGGGTGGATTACAGATATGAGAAAGACTGGTTCCCTTTAATTCCTATGAAATATAAAAGATATCCAGGAAACCCATCTCCCCTTCCTTACCCTTTGTTATGGTTTTCCCTGCTCACCAGAGAAGTACTCCTCACAAGAATCCAGAAGGGAAGGAAATCCCACTGCTATACCTGTTAATAGGCAACTTGTTCCCCAGGATTTCAGTAGACCACTGCCATCTCTGTCACAACTTGCTCTCACCCAAGAGAACTAGGAGCTATACACTCCTCTAGTTGTACACAGGGGGAAGATTAAACTCCTTGAGTCTTAATGGGATAGATGACCTAACCCTTTCCATAGGAATGAATGGACCAGCAGCTCCCTTCAAAACTCCTCAGCTGAATTTCAAGCCACCAGTGGTCCAGCTTGTGCTAAATCCTGGGCAGCTCCTTGCAGCAAGGCTTCTGCTCCCCAGCAACCACACACTTGCTATCCAGCTCCATCCCCTATTTTGAGGATCATCTCCAGCTCAACTTCCAGGTGATTTCCATCCCTTAACCCCTGGCAGAACAGGGAGTGAAAGGGACATCTTCTTCCCCCCCCCCAAGAAATATGGTGAGGGATAAGCCAATCTGGAGACACCATCCCTAACTCGAAACTCTCCTAAGTCTCCTTCCACTGTTCTGCCCCACTAGTGGATACAAAAGCACTGAGGTCATAGCTGGACTGTACAAAACAATGGGATGGATGGATTCAGTAGAAGTGTTCATCAGGCTGTGCAGAGCTGATCTTTCCTCACTTTTCTTTCCTTCCAAGCAACCTACTGTATGTCCCAAAATGCCTCTCTGAGATCAGGTGAGTCTCGCAAGCTAAACATACCACAAGTCAGGATGCCTCAGAAACTAGGGGGATTCTGGTAAAACAGTCTCCCTCTCTTTCCTCAACTAATGGGAGCTATGAACCAAAGACAGAGAAAGAGAAAATTTTACTTTATTTCCCATCATCATTGCATGTCCCTCCATTCTGTGGCACATTTTGTCTGAGAGACTCTCTCAGAGGAGGAGTTTTGGGACAAACACCAGCCTTCTTGGAGAAATCAAATGTAGAGAAAGATCAGCTTAACCAATGTGTTACATGAACTCTTCAGTTGGATCCATCCTAATAGTATCAACTACCCAAAGCAGTTAGTATAATTAACCATCTATCTTAATTGGTAGCTAGTTAGATAGCTGGGCAAGAAATAATCAGGCATCAAAAAGTACTGTCAGATCAGACACAGATTTTATACATGGCAGGAGGAAAGCTCCTCTCCGTGTTTTAAGGGATGTGTCAATAATCCTATTCCTACCATTTCTATTGGTTTCTGTGGATGGATCATGCTCATCGGCCTCAATTCCTATTAGCCTTTATTGTATTAGTAGAGAATAGTTGACCCAAAATGATACTTCTTTGGAAAAGTTTGAAATCAGTTTGTAATTTATTTTGTACAAGTTCAAGATATGTGGGATGTAGTGTATAGCATTGTATAGTGTGTTTTGGCATATATACTTTCATTGTGTGACATACTAGCATTGTGTGAATCTGCCCCTGGAACATTGGAGAGATTTCCTGATTTAGAAATTGCCAGACAGGAGATTCAAGAGGAGTCAGGAACCTGGTTGCTGTTCTTGTAAACTGCATTCATTTCATTTCTATTAAATTCACAAGTCAATTTTAGCAATCAGTGAATACGTGTCAAGTTTCTGGCACAAGTCTGAGGAATATGTACCGCACAGGTGCTAAGAACAACATACATTCACAATGCTCTGAATTTTTAAGTAATGGAGTATATTGTCTCAGAATATACCCAGGCATTACTAGATGGGTAAGTTTGTATCCTAAACCCAAACTTCTAGTATAAAATACTATACTTTTAATACTTTTTGTTGCTGACCTCTCGCTTCCCACTCATGCTTTTCCTAGGGTCCCTTTTCCCTCAGGAGTAGTATTTTTTTTGGGAGGGGAGTCAAACTGTTGACTGAAGTGTTCAAAATGAACAGCTGTTAGATTTTTAGAAAAATTAATTTTAAACAGAAGTTAGGGGCCATCTCAAAGAGTTTTCATCACTGTCTATCTACATTCAAACATTCAACAGAGCAGTATGAGATCAAACATGCCTGAAAGTAAACTTTTTGGAGTTAAATGGTTCAGATCACTCAAGTGATTCTCATGAAAGAGAAGTGTCATGTGTTACACTATAACTCAACTGAAACATGCCTTTTTTTTCTTTGCAGTTTTAGAACGCTGAGCACAAAACATATGGATGCTGATTCCCATGCCTTCAAGACAGAATTAAGCAAACATTCCATATCAATATACTATACAGAAAAGATGGAGGATGACATGTTTCTTTACTCTAGTTACAGACCACAATGAAGAGTATCTTGAGGAAACAATAAATTCTACTTTGAAGCAGACTTTTGGAATGGGATGTAAGGACTTTCAAACTGATGAGGTAAAAATCCTATAAAGGTCTGGACTTAGGGCCCAGCTGCAGTCTGGGAATTCCCAACATTTATTTTCTTTAAAAATCATGTTCAAGGGTGGAGTTCCTATTGGGACTGCAATGTGAGGAAAAACATAAATGCACTTACCTGTAACTGATGTTCATCAAGTGGTTTTCTGTGCAGGCACAGATGAGACTGTGCATGCACAGGCTGGCCACGGAGAGGAATTACTAAGATTTCTAGAGCTTTCTAAAGCTGCAGAGTGTGTTCCCCACCTCCCGTCCAGAGCTGGCATTTCTGTCCCAAACTGGCACGTGACTAGGAGAGGGGGAATGGTTCTCCTTTAGTCTTCCTTTCACCACCATGAGGGTATGGCCCTGAATGCAGAACAACTCACAACGGAGAAAGGATGGAGAGATGTGTACCTGCACAAAAGACCACTTGATGAACATCAGTTACAGTTAAGTGCAATTATGTTTTCGTCTTCATGATATCTGTGCAGTCCCACATGGAAGGATAGCAAGCTCACTTACCAAGGAGGAAGGTGTGGGCTGATCACCTAAAGAATGATGGAAGAACTGTTTTTGCCACAGCTGCCTCCTTCCTGGAGTCCACATCTATTGTGTAGTGGAAGGAATTGACCATGTAGCTGCTTTGCAGTTGCCCACCATGGAGATCCTACTCTTTTTTTTTTTTTGCCCCCCGTAGGAGATTTTTTATTGCATTTTCTATAAACTACAACGAAATTGGGAAGGGGATCTACAAACTATAAGAGAAAGTAAAGAAAAAACACTAAAACCCCAAGAGATTGTGGTCATACCTACTGCTTAACAAGTTAGCTTTTAACTCAACATTCGATTCAAGTTCATTGAATGTGGTCATCTAAGAATCTATTAAAATTTAAGTAAAAATTTAAACACCACCGTATCTGACTTCTTAAAGAGTAATAAAATAAATAATTATAACATAACTTTGTAAGAGATTTCAGAGTGCAATAACATCTCATCTT